ATGGTATTAAATTATATTTTTGCAGTAGTTATAATCCATTTATTTACCTGTTAAGCACTTTTTGAGCATAGACCTGAAAAACTGTCATACATTTCGAATGCTTTGGAGCATAGACTTAAGTTTGGTCTCTTTCTTAAAGAAGACGCTTCGCAGATTATTGCTGATGTGAAAAAAGTTTAAAAAGTGAAATAAAAAAAAGTTATAGATGCTTAGCTTTATTGTTATAATTAACATATTTGAATATTTACATATTTTCCAAAACATTTTACTTTAAAACCATGTAATCTGGATTACAAAAATTAAGTACTTGTAATTAGATTATATTACATTTTAAAATGCCCATAGTCAGATTACAGTTACGTTTTTATGGATTACATGATTGCATAAAGCCTTGGCGTAATGTCTAATGCACTTCTTGACGTGGATAACAAAGAATGGAAAATATTAGGTCAAAAGTAATCGAAAATTACTTAATATGTGTAATCCAACAGATTATGTTACTTACTACAATTCCCATTATGTCATTTGTAATCAGTTATGGACTACAGTAATCTACCCAGCGCTGGTGATAGTATAGCATAATGAGAAATTTACAAGCAGTTTTTAAAAGGCAAAAGACATTTTTTGACTGGAAACACCAAGTTAGGTAAAGCACTAGGGTTAAGAAAAACACCATATTTGATATGAAGACAAAATATTCGGCCTGAAACATACTCTATGCAAGTCTGTGATGTCAAATGCTACACAAACTCAATTTTATTGAGTATGTTTCTGGCTTTATGCTTATGCTAGTTAGCGCTACATGACCCCCATCACTTCAGTTTCATGTTTTACAGAAATTGTAACCTACATTTGCTGCTATTTTGTGCTTTCCTTAAAATGACAAAAACACAAAAATGATGGCAGCATTACTTTCTCATCCAGTTTCAGTAAGTTCCTTCTGAATACAACATTCAAGCTCACACTTACTAACTCATACTTTTCTTTAGGATACTTTATAGATATAGCCTAATTGTAACTTTTTTTCTATAAAACATCATAAACACAATGGAATTAATTCAGAAAACATGTAACATATACTTGTTCCATTTCAGAATATGATTTTGTGTGTATTTCATTTGTTCAAAAACCATCAAATCGATTTTGAGAAGAGACATCTGGTGCATGTTATGGATCAAGATTCAGACAAAAATTTGCTTGATTTTCACCATAAACAATAAAAAACAGACCAACAGTGTTTGAAAAGGTGAAGACTCTATGTGCATGATTCATTTTCCAGGGAAAAGCATTCAAATTAGCCCCAGATACCCTGAAGATTATAAAATCAAAAGAATTTTATATATTTATAAAATTCAAAAGCCAGATTTTGTCCAATCTTTCATAAGTTAGGAAATCAAATACACAAACTAAATTGCAAAATTTACAGATGATTTGATCAGATATGATATCAACTATTTAGCTAAATGATGTTTTATCTAAATGAATAAACAAAACCTATTTACTATAAAATATTTTTTTAAAAACCCTTTGCAACCATATTTTGAGCTTATAATTACACATCTGAGCTTATAATTAAATCACTGATCAGTTTAATAAAAGCCATCAAATTTCCCCATATTTCAGATTAAATATGTTTAAAATAATATGTATGAACACAATTTTTTTTACCCAGGAATGTACACTACTGGTCAAACGTTTGGAATAACTGGGATATTTTTTATGTTTTTAAAAGAAGTCTCTTAGGCTCAAAAATACAGTAAAAACAGTAATATTGTGTAATAATATATATATTAAAATGCAATTTATTCTTGTGAATTTTCAGAATCATTACTCCAGTCTTCTAATATGCTGATTTGATGCTTAAGAAATTATTATCAATGTTGAAAACAATTGTGCTGCTTCATATGTTTGTGTTTTGATCAAATAAGGAGCAGGAGAGACTTCTTTCAAAAACATTAAGAATCCTAATTCTTCCAAACGTTTGACCAATAGCGTATAAGATAAAAATGCTAAATATAAAGAAGCCAAAAAAGAAAACAAAAAGACCACTATATTAACAAACCTCATCGATACAGAAATGTTATAAGCCATATCCATGAAAACAAACCTGAATCTGTATGGAACAGTGGCCATCATGAGGAGCAATGCCATAATCCTATGCTTTTGCATCTACATATATTTATAGACATGGGTATAATTTCAGATACACCCAGCTTGGTCTATGTACAATCAAAACCTCCACCTGAAAACTCTTCTGACTATATAACCTGAAATCATGAAAGTCCCCATACAATCAACAATATATATATATTTGATAATTTCCCCCATGATTATCATGAGTGCAAACTTTAGAAAGAAGTGGAAATGCAGTAAGGCCATCCAAAATGAACCTGCAATGTATATATAGGCACATAGCTCTTTAATGTTTGAGATATTGATGTGTGTAACTCTTGAAAAGCTTCAATCATCATTGGTTGCTGCTCAAAATGATGGGACACCGTTCCACAGATTCTGCCATTAAGTGCGTGAACATTAACACGTGAACATTGTACATAACACATGAAATCAGCTAAGGCAAATCAAACCCAGCTAATAGGAAACGTTTTGCTAACGTTCTGGCAAGGCTCTCTCAAAGTTATCAACAAACATTTTTTCAGTAGAATGTTTGTTCAAATGTATCTGGTATTTAATAATGTTCTCAAAATATTAGCAAAAAGACATTCATGGAACGTTTAGTTGGACATTCGTCTGACGTTTTTTTAAACGAAACTACTTGTTTCGGAACGTTCAGCGAACATTCAAAACTAACATTTCAATAACGTTTGCAAAATGATCAAATTTAATGTTCCCTTAACATTCGCAGAACCAGGGGGAAAAAAATGTACCCTCTGATGTGCCTCGTGTGACGGTAAAAATGATTGAATTATTATTTTTTATTTCAATAAAATTAATGTACTATATTTTAGTTTAATGTTTTTTATTTAACATTTTGTATTTTTAGGGGATTTTATGGTATTAAATTATATTTTTGCAGTAGTTATAATCCATTTATTTACCTGTTAAGCACTTTTTGAGCATAGACCTGAAAAACTGTCATACATTTCGAATGCTTTGGAGCATAGACTTAAGTTTGGTCTCTTTCTTAAAGAAGACGCTTCGCAGATTATTGCTGATGTGAAAAAAGTTTAAAAAGTGAAATTTAAAAAAGTTATAGATGCTTAGCTTTATTGTTATAATTAACATATTTGAATATTTACATATTTTCCAAAACATTTTACTTTAAAACTGTGAGAAAGTCAAAGCCATAATTCTAAATTAGTTGTGTTCCAAATTTGAAGTTGATATCACAAAAAAAAAAAAAAAAAAAAAAAAAAAAAAAAAAGATTTTTGTAAAAATTTTTTTT